GTATGCTATGGTGTTAAATAATCTGGAGAATGTTTGCCCCGAAAAAATATTTAAAGGAGAATTATGGGGTGGGTGAATTACACTCATCCTGATAGTTAGTGCCGATGTGTGGCATTTTTAACTGTCACACGTTGGCTCTATTGATTGGGAAGTGAGCGAAAACATACCACCGCTCGCTCACTTCCCGATCATCTCTTTGCAGAGAGCTCCCCACATGGGTTCCCCCTCTGCTCTCCGATCCTCCAGCGCTGACTGGAGGAACAGACAGGGGAGGGGGCGGGCACAGCTGGCTCTGCCTCTAGATAGGCAGAGCCCGCTGTCAATCAGCCAGCTGAGTGGATCTCAACAGTATTGTCGGGATTCGTCCCACCTGTGGTGCGCTCAACGCAATAGCCCACTTTATACCGAGTTTTGGGTCACGGGAGGAGGTTAGTATATGCCCCCCTGTGACCCTAATAAAGAACTATAGGAAAAAAAGGTTATCCCATAGATCTATTTTAATGAATTTTGTGACCAGTGCTAACACTGCAGTGTATATTTGAAGTGCAGTGCAGTGCAGTGTATATTTGTTATATTGTCATATTTGTTATGACCAACTATTGCCATGTTGTTAAACACTTTTCCTTTTGCCTATATATGAGTGTACTTTATTTGCTATGCACTGGCTTTAGTGTCTGGGCATGCAATTACTTCAGTATCTGTGTTTTTCGGTGAGACACAGAATGGCAAACTGAGTGCCAAAGGTGTAACGTTGAATGCGAACAAGGACCCTCTAGAACTAGTGACAGGAAACAGAAGGTGCTATAGTGTAAAGTGGGAGGTGGCGTGGAACTCTGAGGAGGAGAGCAGACAAGGGGGAGAAGAATGCTCACTGAGTATGTAAAGATGAGTTCTGTGGCAGGTCCCTGCAGTGCTGCTGACAGGAAACAGGAAGTGTTCTTCACTTTTTGTTTTATACAGTAAATAAACCCTGTTTGGGATATGCAATAGCAAAATAAATAAATAAAATCATTAAAATGAAATCAGTCAATATTCTGTTTATCCTAAAGCTTTCATAGGTCCTCTGGTGGGCTTGCTGTGTTCTTGTCTTCACTCTTTACCAACTTCCTTTTGGCACCATATGGCCTTCACAAGAAAAAAGACCCCTTCGGCTTGCTTTTCACCTTTGTTGTGCATGCCTGCAGTGGCTCCATTTATTCCTATGAAACAACGATTCTCAGCAGAGGAGATGCGTTAATCACCAGCGCACACGAAGAAGAAAATGTCAATCTACATTACTTTTATTCGGTCTTCCTTACTTTTATTTTACTTTTATTAACGTCACACCATGTTTCAAATACCATTAATGTTCCGGGGCCACGCAGGGTCCCTTCATCAGGGTGACACAGTGAAGGTCACTGTGTCACCCTGATGGCCCTGAATCATTGATTGTATTTAGACATGATGTGATGTTTCAATAAAAGTAAGTTGTAATTTTTCTTTCGTGTGTGCTGGTGATTAACACATCTCCACTTAGAAGTTCTGCACTGCGTGATCCATGACATCACAACAAGCACCACCATCTTTTCAAGGTCACAACGCTGTATGTAGTGCAGGTGAACTACAGCGATTCTCTAAAGGACACTACAAGTACACCTGGCTCATAGGAATGAATAAAGCCGCAGGGTGCATACGCAGAAAGAGAAGCCAGATGAAGGTTTTATTTGCAAAGGTTTTGCAAGGCTGCATGAAAAACATTTCTAGCTCAGGGCTGAATGTAAGCTCACATAAAGGTCAAACGGCAGTGGGTGACAAAGGATGTACTTAGCTGAATGGCTTAGTACAAACATTGAAATTCATTAGCTAGTAGTAGAAGTTGGTCACATTCAGCTGGACTTGTTCTGTAATGTTGAAAACTTTTCACAGGCCACCTCCTTAGTTCTGATGAGTGTCAGGAACATACACAGCATTCATAGCCACACAGTTAAGACTAGGGTTGCCACACGTCCGGTTTTCAACCGGACAGTCCGGGTTTGGCGTCTTGTGTACGGGTGTCCAGCCAGCGGGCACCCGTACACAAGACACGCTGCTGACACCGGCACTTTAAATTTTCTCGCAGATGCGGCTGCGAGGTCCTTGGTAATTGCGATCCAAGACAGTCATATTAATTGACTGAAATTACAGTGGACGTTGATTAAAATAACTCCAGGGCAAGCCGAAAGCCCATTACTACCATTGTACAGAGCCACCATGATCATTTGGTCGCTTAAAACTGTAAAATAACTGAAACTGTGGGTAGCAGATTTCTGTGACTGAAAGCTCATGGAAAGCTCCTACATGGCTAAGCACATGACCAGCATTACAGAACTATATAGAAAGATGGAAGCAAGTGAAAAGGTAGTAGTTATAAAACCCTACTATCAACACACTGCCTTTTGGTATAATATCTCCTAAACTTGGTCATTTCTCTTTAAGGGATTTTCTTAAACTGTATCTCTAGGCATTTTGTTTTCAGTTTTGGATAGAGTGGGTACCATGTCTGAGTCTCCATTGCGTTGATTCGCCCCTTAATTTGTACTACTGACTATTGTCAGTGTGAATGGATATCCAAACTTTTAGAGTTGTTCCCAGAAAAAGAGGTGGGGGCAAATGTCCAGTGGGGACACCTGTTCTGGGAAAAGATGTCTAAGAGGGAAAGTCCGCTCTTTGGAGGAACAGAGTGTCTTGTGCCTACTGCATTTTCCGATGTTAAAGGGTCTGCAGGCACCCTAATGTCCTTCTAAATCAGAATCAAGGCATGGGCTAGAAAGTGTATTAGCTACATTGGTAGTTCAGTGCTTTGCAAAACAATGTACTGTGATTCCTCTCTGATTACCGATTTTGAGCACAACTACATGGAAGCAATTCTATAGGTCACCCTAAAAAGCACCTCATCCTTTAAGGCCCTTTTACTCTGTTCCGTTTTGTTTTCCAGACCTGGACATAGTTGGGGATAATAGGATGAAAAAGGATGCACAACATTGAGCTTCCAATCAGATCTGTCTGACAGACTGACAGGTGGAACTGATCGGACTACCCGTCTGAAGGTGCCTTACAGTCCACTTTGCAATAAATACATCAAGTATAGGGATGAGTGCAACACATTCAGATAATTGATTTTGTTGCAAAATTGTTTAAAGACTCTCAAGCTGTTTAGGGAAAAGGGAAAGGCATTTTCCTCCTCTGAGATGATTTACATGGTCGTGTGTCCTAGTCACCTGTACCAGAGTTTCAGGAAGTAAAGGGAGATATAGTAATCTGCCCTTAGTAAACATGGCCAATGTCAGAAGAATGTGGAGGAAAAGAAAAATAAGGTATGCAAACAATACAAAGCCTGCGATTATTTATAAGTATCTGTTTGTAGATTGTCATTACTCAACATTTCTAAAGGTGACTTTGTTGTTATTTTTAAGCTATGGGTAAAGTTCCTCTTTAAGTTTATTTCATTTCTTTGTATTGTGTTGCTTCATTTTTTTGTGTATTTAATGTTTTTACATTTTTTCTATCTCTGCATGCGATTCCACTTAGCATGTTGCAATGTTAGGTGCACTCCAATGCCATTATTTCTTTTTGGCACCTAGCCATAGAATGTGCGTTATATTGCGCCACATCTCATGGTAACCTATTACCATGTGATGCGGTTTGCTTCGATTTGAGAAAAAAAAGGAGCTTGCACTTCTTTCAGTGCCATTTAGCTGTGGTAGACAGCCAATTCAAATGAATGGACACGCAAAGCACCTCTTGCATGGAACCTTGTGATTAATGCTTTGGACTAGTGTGATTCGGCCCTAAAGGAAGACGGATTTCTCTAAAATGCACAATGAATCCTAACCTACTGGGGGCCCTTGACTGTGCTGCAAATATTATCATACAGCCAAACTAACCCTATGACAGCACTTTATAGGTTCATGCTTGGCGGAAATGGGAAGTAAAAAGTGTTCTGCACGTTGAAATGTAACAGGTTCCTTTGAAAACATTAAAAACGTCACATCCTTTCCCTTGACTAAGCATAGAGGACTGGACAGGGCATTGAGTACTGAGGACTGGATAGAGCATTGAGTACTGAGGACTGGACAGAGCATTGAGTACTGAGGACTGGATAGAGCATTGAGTACTGAGGACTGGACAGAGCATTGAGTACTGAGGACTGGACAGGGCATTGAGTACTCTGGACTGGATAGATCATTGAGTACTGAGGACTGGACAGAGCATTGAGTACTGAGGAATGGACAGAGCATTGAGGACTGGACAGAGGATTGAGTACTGAGGACTGGACAAAGCATTGAGTGCTGAGGACTGAACAGAGCATTGAGTACTGAGGACTGGACAGGGCATTGAGTATTGAGGACTGGACAAAGCATTGAGTACTGAGGACTGGACAGAGCATTGAGGACTGGGCAGGGCATTTAGTACTGAGGACTGGACAGGGCATTGAGTACTGAGGACTGGACAGGGCATTGAGTACTGAGGACTGGACAGGGCATTGAGTACTGAGGACTGGACAGAGCATTGAGTACTGAGGACTGGACAGAGCATTGAGTACTGAGGACTGGACAGAGCATTGCGTACTGAGGACTGGACAGAGCATTGAGTACTGAGGACTGGACAGAGCATTGAGTACTGAGGACTGGACAGAGCATTGAGTACTGAGGACTGGGCAGAGCATTGAGTACTGAGGACTGGACAGGGCATTGAGTACGGAGGACTGGACAGGGCATTGAGTACTGAGGACTAGACAGGGCACTGAAAACTGAGCTGTGGACTGGACTCCACTTCCGGCAACACACACAGCACGCCCTGACACCACATATGTTTGTCTATTTTTGTCAACACACCAATCAGCGTCGCTCTATACCTGTCTGCCTGCGTAATGCGCACAAACCTGCTCTGCGCCACGACGCCGGAAGTTGCTCTGCTGGTTGGCAAGCGTCGCTGCATATTGGTTGGCAGCGTTGGTTGTGTTTTTCCGGGTTGCAGTGTCTGTGCGACGTGCGTTCACCATGGAGGAAGAGCTAGAGCGGTAAGGAGCGGGTATCGCTATATATTTGATGTCCTGTATACTCAGAATAGATGAGATAACGTGCTGTGAAGCATTGTAGTTTACAGGTCCCTATTTCCAGCGAGATTGTGTGCAGTATATAAGAGGTGAATGTCTATGCAGGCACAGCTTGTATATGAAGCAATCGGGGGCAGTGTGCTCTGCTGAATTCCTGCAGTTACAGGATTTGTTCCCCACACATGCTTAGTACACATCCCACATGCAGATCAGAGCTGGCCACGCACATTACAATCTGACTCTACAATCTCATTTACACTCAACAAAAACCAATTTGTGTAAAGTCATACCTGATTAGATAGACATTGGATTGTTTAGGGTCTGTTCACCTTTGTGGGGTTTATGGGTGATGAGGTCTGATGCGTTAAGCACACTTTTTTTGTTTTATTCACACCGCAGTGCGTGGTATTGTGGTACGATTGAGCACATTGTGGGTGGGCGGTGCGTTTGTGGTGCCTTTCAAATGAATCACAATGTACCTCCCACACTGTTAATGCATGGTAGGTGTGTTGTTGCATGTGATTAGAGCATCACACTGGTGTGAATGGCCCTGAAATGTATAACATGCTTGCAACACACCACAATGCATCAGTGAATAGGAGGCTCAAAGTAGTACTCCATGAAAAAGAAAAACAAATCATCTGCTAGATTACTATGCTCTGATCTCTTTTATGCATGCACATTGTCATTTCAGGACAGCCGGGATATATAAAACACCCCATGTGCCTTGGTGCTCAAACCTGGCAGTTTGATTGTATAGATGGCAACCCTGGCGCCTGACTTGTGGGGAACGGTATTGATTGATTATGTCTATGAGGTAGTAAAGGTAGCCATAGACATAATAATCATTGCCAGCCCTTGCTGAAAGCAGTCACCGCATCTATGAGCCCCCAATAACATTTCATGTACTGTGAAAGGATTGTTCACTTTTCAGCACTTTTTGGGATAATCCCTACACTTTGTGATAGCTTCTTCCAGTACCATTGCGTTTCATGTATGTTCCAAGGTCTCAACTCACCTGTTTGGCCAAAGTGGTCATCAGATTGGCTGCATCCATTAAAACAAATATATTTATCCGACCTAAAGGTATCCACACCTCAAAAATACAACAGAGACTTGAATGTTACTTGCTGTTGGCAACGTTGTTGCTTTTCCAGCTGAACTAGTGTTTACAGACTGTAAAGCTCCTGTTTGCACTATTGTGATTTGTCATGCTACAATGCACGACAATGGAAATCCCATTATTCTCTATGCTGCCGTGCAAAATTATGTGATTTTTTTTTTTTTTTGGAAAGGAGCAGGTGCTACAGTCTGTTTTTCACCCTATAGACTTAAATGGGAGCACATATTAAATACATGTAAAAGTGCATGACAGCGAGCCCGGACCCCTAGCACCCTAAACTTTAGATGAACTTCATTGAGCAAAACAAATACACATAACACATGAAAAACACATTAAAACCGCATGAAAATGCAGATACGTGGGTGTGAATGGATTATTAGTGAGTTATATAGTGGTTTGTATTATTGGATCTCTTGGCATGCCACTATTCTCCTAGATAATACATCTAATAACGATAATGTATAAAACATTTAATAACAACATACTAAGTCATCTACAACTTTGTCCCTCGCTACACCACCAACCTCATCTCAAAATATCACCCAAACCGTCCTCTCCGCTCCTATCATGACCTCCTGCTCTCGTGCTCCCTTGTCAGCTCCTTTAATGCTTGCCTCCAGGACTTCTCCAGAGCCTCTCCCATCGTCTGAAACTTCCTACCACTGAAACTTCCTACCACAACCAAAGCGCTGTGCTCCTTCTCTGTCTTTTAGGTGATTCCTGAAAACTCATCTCTTCAGGGAAGCCTGTCCCACCTTGACATAACTGCTCTTTATTGTCTTTTATATCACTTGCCTCTCCTACTAGATTGTGAGCTCTCACCAGCAGAGCCCCCCTAACCCTCCTTAAAATTGTATTGTAACTGTACTGTCTCCCTCCATTTTGTAAAGCGCTGTGCAAACTGTTGGTGGTATATAAATCCTGAACAGTAATAATAATCGATAAAACAAAGATTAGGTTAGTTTAATAACATATCCAAATCCATATTTTATGGGGTATTTATATGTACCCTAAGTATCCCCCTTTTTTTAACCCACCTTCTATGAGACAAGGTTTCTGCTAGCCAAGCAATTCTTTCTGTGTTTATGGAATACAACTAAACAGGGTTGGGGGGTCTTCTTATGTCACCCACGTATAATGCCATTTTAACCTTTCTACTTCGATTTAACAATTTGCCCCTTCAGTCATGTAAATTGAACAATTGACACCTGTACCAGACTCCATAGCGCCATTGGTATTGGATTATGTAATTAGAACAGGGTGGTTTCACAAATATTCACATCGTCATATTCTTGGACAACTGAGATCTGACTTGACACATTTCAAGTCACCAGCACTGTCATTTAAGGTGCAAACATAATCTAATTTATACATAGGTCATACAGTCAATGCTTTGGTGCCAGGCAGGTTCCTTCATTTAAAGGGACATCCTGTTGAAGATCCACACGGCAACATGCATTGTTATCACTACGAGCAACACCATACTTACTTTGGTCACAGCACTGTAAGGAGTGCAGGTGGTATCTGCATTACTTCATTGACACTAGGGATACACACCGAAATTTGCCAAAACATCATGCCTGTGTAGGCAGAGGAGATCGGAGGGGACATAGAGCCGATCCGGCTGCCGGCGCCCAGCAGGGAGGAGAGAAGCTGTCAGGAGGCTGAGCGGGGGTGAGAGGCCAAGCTCTCCTCCTGCACCGCCCTGCTTGGCCTCTTGTCGGGATGGAGAGTGGAGTACAAGCACTCAGCAATGCCTGAGTGTTTGTAAATAACTGAGGACATAGTAAGCTTACTGTGTCCCCAATTATGAATGAGCAGGAAGTGATCTACATCACTTCCTGTTATTCATGATTGTGGACATAGTAACTGATATTATCTCCACAGTCTCTGAATGGACAGGAGCACTCAGTATAGACCGGGGCTTCCTGTTCAAAATAAAAGATATAGGACTCTGTGTTCTCAATCTTTTTATATTTTAAAGGGAAATATCAGGGGTCTGTTTTAGACTAGGGATGCACCAATACCAGTTTTTCAGTATCAAGTACCGATACCTGTGCTTCCGCTGGCATGGAGACGGCTTTAAGGGCAATCAGAAAGCTGGGTGGCGGGCAATGCCTCGCTGCTTCCTGATTGGCCAGGAAGCTGGCTCCATCTTCTACGGTAGAGGAAATGTTCTGGTATCGGAGCATTTGGGCCAGTACGAGTACTCGCACCGATAATAGTATCGGTGCATCCCTAGTTTAGACCTCTGATATTTCCCCAAAGCCCCCCTAACAGTAAAGTAAAAAAATAAATAATACATTTTTTTGAAAAGGTTAGGGGGGAAAAAAATAATTTTTTGGTTTCAGCCGGACAAATTTTTTGTGTTTCAGCCTAAAAATTAAATTTCGGTGCATCTCTACTTATAATATATACGGAAATGATTGGAAATTCTGAAAGGCAGGCAGTAATGCACAGGATTCCATGTTCAAGGTTTCATATTTCATATTCAAGGTTTCCATGAAATATGGTAGAGAGATCACCACTGGAGTTCTGAAGAGATTTATGAAACCAAACTACTTGACTCGTTCCACTAGACCTAAACTAATACTGAAATATAACTTTTGGGTGACCTGCCCAATAAAACGAATTAATTGTTAAATCGATGCTTGAAAATACCTGTCAGAAGAGTAATGTGGGAGCTGTCATTGCTTACATGTTTTTGATGCACATTCTGGGGAACTTTTTTCCCCCTTCCACTAAAAAAAAAATCGCATCAGCATGCTCCTCCGCATGCTGATATTAAATTATCTTACATTCATTAGTTAAACATTTTTCTTTTACTTACAATGTTATTGTTTTTCTACTTCTACGTGGTCCTCTTGAGGATTAGTGATGTAATTTGCCCAAGCTTTGCATCCTGGGAAGGTTGCATCAGTAGAGCATTGCTAGGAAATGTCATCTGTAATCTCATGAGTTCTTAAGGAAAAGATGATGTGCGTGGTCACATGTGACAGAGTTCTAGGAAGTAAAGGGAGATATAATAATCTGCCCTTAGTAAAAATGGCCACTGTGAGAAGAATGGGGAGGAAAAGAAAAATAAGATATGCAAAGAATACAAAGCCGGCGATTATCTAGAAGTATGTGTTTGTAGATTGTCATTACTAAACATTTCTAAAGGTGTCTTTTTGTTGCCATTTCAAAGATCTGGGTAAAGTTCTTCTTTACCAGGGAAGGTAGGATCGGGGTCATGGTTGTACAGCTCGCACCTTTTTAAAAAAAAAAGTCAGCAATGGCATTTTTTTTTTTTAAACATTGCATACAATTAAACACACCCAAATCCACTTCTTTAATAGATTCCTCATGCATGAAGGTGACAGCCTAATGGCATGAATTAGTACCCCGTGTTTGGAAAAAACGCCTGTAAGGTGGCTTGAAAAGTTATATTTCTGTATGGAGGATAATGCCCCTTAATAGTCACTGCCTACTGAATTAAAAACCTTGTATGGATTTATTCATTTATTTACCTACTCTGTGCGAATGACCTTTTATAGGGCTGCAACTAATGTTTATTTTCATAATCAATTAGTTGGCCGATTTTTTTTTTTATTTTTTGATCGGATAAAATCAATAAATACCATCTTTTATGTAAAAACAAAACAAAACACAAGTGGAGTGTTACAAAGGTGACTTCAGAATAAAACTGCATGCACATTTTTTGCTATTGCACCGCACTGGAATGAATGGCATTACGGTGCTGCGCGTTCCAGTGCAGGCGATCGCACTGAGGGCGGGAGGCGTTTTTGGGGTGCCACTGAAAGGAATGACACTACTATGCACATCCTGCAACAGAATTCATTTTTTTTTTTTTTT